ATTAAGATTCCTCCTTGTTCAGGCTCAGGCAAATTTTTTTTTAAGTTTCTTTGCATATTTCTTCAGTTCAATATTTTGACTTTGTGTGTTCACATAAATATTTATAGTCCTCAAAAACAATTTTTGCAAAGGCAGTTCAGTTTAGGAACTTGTTGTCCTAAAATATATCTTAGAATCCTAAAAGTATAGAGTTTTAAATGGTTATTAAAATGAAAATAAAGATCAAAACAAACAACTATTTGGTTACAATAAGAGATGAAAGACACTAGTAAAATTACAATTTTTGTTATGCATAAATATAAAGTCAAGGGATGATTGCTAAATTATAGAAATTAAAAATAATAAAATCTACTTTTTTTCCCCTAATCAATATAACCAGGTATCTTAAGTATTAGGTTTCTGCAAAGAGCTATTTTCCATGTAATGTTGGTAAAACAATGTTGTATTCTGTATGTACTCATGAAAATATTTTTAAATTGATAACATCATAAATAAGATGCACCTGTATCCAGTATTTTCATGACTATAAGAACAAGTGGATTTTGGGTTATATTTCATATTTGTTGATATTTTTATATTCATATTCTATTACCAATATTATGCTCAACTGCCTATTCATCAACATGTAACATTTTGTAAATATTGTACAATTCGATTTTTTAAGGTTTAAATTAGTATTAATTTATATTATATATAATTGATTGGTTGATCATGAAAGTCATTTCATCATTTAAACCTGAAAACTTAAAAATKTTTGTTGGTGACYTGCCTTAGGGTCTTATCCACTTGCATGTTATTTTCATTTGGTCTAAATATTGTTTTATTTGTATATCTTCTAAGACTGGAAAGGTAACTATTTTATTTTTTTAATTTCTCTTTAGGGCAGATATTGTGAGTTCATACCCAAGGAGTCAAAAATTAAAGAACAGGGTTATTCATGACTGTTTCTTATATACTAAAAGCATATATCTAATCTAATTGTCCTGTTATGCTTTTAGTTCTGTGAGTTCCTTTCTATGAACTGAACACAAAACTCAGGAATTGGTGGCTTAATTTTAGATCAGTACTTATACTAGACTTAGTATGTGAATTCTTTAAACTCCATAATTTACTCTGTATTTAGCCATAATATGTAATTGACTTTGAATGTTCTTACCTAAGAGTACTCTTTCTTCACACATGAATTCATGGATTTAGTTTGCAATTGTCTGAGAGCCTCATGATGATTTCCAGGATATATGACTTTATAACCAGTTTTATTATCAAAAATTTTCTCAAATGAAATTTAGATAAGTAATAATTATTGACATACACATTTTTAGTTGTTAAATGTACTATATCTTCAGCTATCTACCATTTAGTGACATGTTGTTGGGTAGGAAAAGACACAAAACAGGGCATGTGAAATGTTGTTACAGTAGATATTTTACTTATATTTCATATCAGCACTTTTTTTGTATCACTTATAAAGGTACAGTGTAATCTTTGTTACAGCTCAGTTGACAACTGCATTCCATTGAAAAGTTGGCCTTGTAAAATACAATCCTCATTTAATATTCATGCTTTTGTGCCTTTAAGAAAATATTTTTTGTCATTTTTTGTGTTACAGAACTATTATATGATTCAAAGTGTTTATAGGCTTACTTGTCATAAAAGGGTCATTTTCTGTCATTTTATTTCCTTTTTATATAGGTGAAGTATATTTAAACAGTAATGCTGTACTTTTATAAGGGTTTGTCTACTTACCTATTTCAAAATATTCTTATTCTCAGACATCATTGAAGTAGACTTGTCAGATTATTCTGAGTAGAAAACAGTGCCTTTTTGATGGAATTCACACTGTTTTGGGTATCAACTTGTGCCATATACACAGAATTTTGTGGAAGGCAGTTTTAACTTTTTGAAGAATATCTTAGTCTAAATTTAAGAAAATGTATAAAATTCCATTTTTTCCAATGCTTATCATTKCTAATGGGCAATGAAATTTTGTTCTTTTGTTGAAATACAGTGATGACACTACTGATGAGCCATACATGAGACACAGATTGTTTTGAATTATGTTAAATATATAGAAATAAAATATTAGCATTGATGTCAGTTTTTCCAATTTGAACTAATGGGAGAATTCCCACAAAAATCAGTGAGTTTACAATTCAACATCTGTTGTATTTGACTAAGTGTAAGAGATTCTTTAAATTGTATAACCTGCCACTATTATGTAATTTGTCTTCATTTTATTCTACCTATTGTCTGAGTTTAACATTTAATTTACTTTTTGTTACTCTTAACATACTATTTTGTTACAGTTTTTAACTGAAGATGGACTGTTAAAATTGTATAGGACCAGTGTCTTATTAATGTGATTAACATATTTAGAAAAGCCACAAGAAACCCATGACAAAAATGAATGTGAATATGCTTTCTAAAATATTTGGGAAAATTTCTTTCTGCATTTATCATGAAAAATTATTTTAGTATTACAATATTGAAATTCTTCATTTAAAGAAAAATGCCATGAAACATTTGAACTGATAGGCCACAAAATTTAATTTTTTTTTTCACTTTTTAGCATGGTAAATGTACATTTAAGTTAAAAATCCTGTTTTATGGCCATTTATAAATTTAAGCACTACCACTGGTCAGTTTTGTATGATAGAATAACAGTATGTTATCTGCAGTGTAAGTATAGCACACTGTCAAATTCTTTTCCTTAAGGTGCATAGTAAATGTACAGATAGTCATAGGCTACCGTTTTGTAATGTATTACATTTCTAATCTATTATTCCTAACCTGTTATACATGTTTGCTGAGAGAAAAGAATTGAATTTTTCTAATGATCTGTAAAATTATGCTAACTTCTACAAGTAGGTATTCTAAATAAAATTTTTAAAAAGAGCAAACTGGTCAAATGACTTTTAATATGTAGTGAATAAATTTGTCCTAATTTATTTTGTGGAAGTAGTTGCAGGAGATGGGGAAAGGATTGAACAGGGAATGAATGAAGGATTCAATTAAGATTGAATCCCTAATATATGCTTTACTTGGTACTTTATACTCCTTCTTTTTCAATCCTCTTAACAACCCTACGTGGAAGTTAGCCAGATTTTATACAGAAGACTCAAGAAAAGTTAAATGACTCTAAAAACTACACAGTAAATTGAGTGATAGCATATTCTTACTGTAAGGAAAAAAATCACAAGTTTGTATCAATGTCTATAGTGTAAACTTAAATAGGACTCTGGTTTTAATACTTGTTTGAAATAGTCCACTATTTGAAACTATATTGAGTAATATAACCAACCCCTTTTTGAGGACTAGAACCAGGAAGAGACAAAAAATGAATTTTACTACTTAATATATATATAAAATTGTAGATGGACACAATACCTTTGGTTTTTGTTGTTGTTGTTGTTTGTTTTTTGGTTTTTGTTTTTTTTTTTTTTGAGAGAATTTTTTTTTAATATTTTTTTCTAGTTTTTTTTTTTTTTAGTTTTCTGCGGACACAACATCTTTGTAAGTGGTGCTGAGGATTGAACCCCTGCCGCACGCATGCTAGGCGAGCGTGCTACCGCTTGAGCCACATCCCCAGCCCGAGAGAATTTTTTAGTTTTCGGTGGACACAACATCTTTATTTTATTTGTATGTGGTGCTGAGGATCGAACCCAGCGGGACGTGCCAGGCAAGCAGCTACCGCTTGAGCCACATCTCCAGCCCCCTTTGTTTGTTTTTATGTGGTGCTGAGGATCAAACCCAGTGCCTCCCAAGTGCAAGGCTTGCTCTCTACTGCTGAGCCACGACCCCAGCCTTGAATCTTACTATTATAACAGTAATTTTCTCAMATCATCTACTAGTCCATAATGAATCAATAATGACTTCCTCTCTGATTTTCCTGCCGTTTCTCCCACTCCTCTCCCCATTCTCTCCTATTTTAGGATCCAATTGCTGCTTGCTGTCTTGGTCTATATTAACTGTGGGGTTAGGATGCATAGTTTTCCATTCTGTGCGCAGGATCAAAGGGAGAGGGAAACAACTCCTCCATATTCAATGAAACATCTACAAGATTATTTTCCTCGTAGTATTGACGTTTTGAATCTAATAGTGTTGGGCTATTATGCTAATTGTATTTTCTGTGTCTTACAAACCCTTTCTTGTGGGAATACTGGGCCAGAAAAAGTGGTGATCCCACATGGGAATTTGTGGGTATACTGTATTTGAGACTTACTCTACGCTAGGAACTATGCAAAGTGCTTTCTAAACATTCTCCACCTCCGTAAAACCTTATTTTTCTTTTATGTCTCTCCATTTTATGACGGGAAAAGCAAGGATTCAAGATGTTACTTGCTGAATGTCACAACTGAGTAAATGACAGAGCAAACCCAGATCTGAACCCAAACAAATCCCTGTTAATATCTAAAACAGTACACTGTTCTGCCTTTGGATTGTATCCAAAAGGCCAATGGGTGTTGAAACGATGTAATAAATCTGAGTCCATCACTTCTGGGAAAAAAAAGAAAAAGAAAAAAGGTTAAATTGTAGTTAGTGGCTGGGTTTTGTGCCTGACACAAAATGTGGAAAGCCCCGGGGAAGACATAAAACCTAAAACTCTTGGCCCAAACCAGGCCCTCCCTATCTGTCCTGCATGCCGAAGCAGCCTTCGCAATGGGAAGCAGAGCAAATAATGCTTGTGGACAGAATATGCGTGAATTCCAGGCACAGGTTTTGCCAGGGCACAGGCAGTTTATGGCGGGAGAGTGCGAGAGAATCAAAGGAGTTGAACTTGCAGCGCCTGTTCTCTCCGTCACTCAGCCCTTCTGACGAGTAGATTTCCGAAGGAAGGTTTCCGGTGACCCAACTACGTAGGAAGGCAAAACTTTCCGCCTAGCGAGACAAACTGCAGCCGATTCGCTCACCCCAGAAGCCCACCTGCCGCGGCTTCCGACTCGAGCGCCTGGTTTCCTGTTTTCTTCCCGCCTTTTCCGTTTCCGGCCGCGCCTCAAGCTCTTTGGTCCGACCCGCTGTTCCTCCTGCTGGCCAGGAAAAGCCCTTCAGACCCTAAGTTCCATGGCTGCGGCGGGGTCTGTGAAGGTGGCGTTACAGGTGGTGGAGGTGCTGGAAACCATCGTGAGCCGCTGCGTAGGGCCCGAGGGCCGGCAGGTTTTGTGTACGAAGCCCACCGGCGAGGTAATGCTCAGCCGGGATGGAGGCCGCCTCCTGGGGGCGCTGCACATAGAGCATCCCGTAGCCAGGTATGGGCGTCCCGCCCTCCTGCCCAAAGTTAGGCCCTCCACAGGGTCTCCTTGACTCATGTCCCATCCTAAGGCTGTGTACCTAGAAAAATGAACTCGATTGAGAACAGCGTATGCTCGGGGTTTGGGCGCTGCCCAGAGGAGTGTTTGTCAACTTCCAAGAATCTGGATTTGGGAGTAGAACAAAATAACTTTTAATCAAAGAGACAGTATTCTTTTGTCTATAACAATGAAAACACAACTTACAACTTGATTCCAAAGCCAGTGTTCTGAAAATCTGATTTTCTTTCTTTTTATTTGTGCAGGATTGTATTGACATGTGTCTCCAGTCATCTCAAAAAAACAGGAGATGGTGCTAAAACATTCATTATCTTTCTTTGCCATTTACTCAGAGGACTTCATGCAATCTCAGAAAAAGAGAAGAATTCTTTGATTTCTGACAATATTCAGACCCATGAAAGGCATTGGAAAAATTGTTGTCAGTGGAAATGTATTTCCCAAGCTCTGCTAATGTTTCAGACACAAATATTAGACTGTATTATGGACCAATACTTAAGTAGACACTTTCTTTCCATCTTTTCTTCATCTGCTAAAGAGAGAACGTTGTGTAGGAGCTCTTTAGAATTATTGTTAGAAGCGTATTTTTGTGGAAGAGTGGGAAGAAATAACCACAGATTTATTTCACAGTTGATGTGTGACTACTTTTTCAAGTGTATGACTTGTACAAGTGAGACTGAAGTATTGGAGTTAGTGGATGACTGTTTTATAGAGCTGAACGTTGGGGTCACTGGCCTTCCTGTTTCAGATTCTAGGATCATAGATGGGCTTTTGCTTCACAGAGATTTTTCTATTTACTGCCCAGTAGATGGTGACATAAGAATGGTGATAGTAACAGAAATCATTCAGCCTCTTTTTTCAACTTCTGGATCAGAATTTATTCTAAGTTCAGAAGCGCAATTTCAGACATCTCAGTTTTGGATTATGGAAAGGACAAAAGCAATAATGAAACATTTGCATAGTCAGAATGTAAAATTGCTCCTATCTAGTGTGAAGCAACCAGATTTAGTTATATATTATGCAGGCCTGAGTGGCATATCAGTGGTGGAGTGTTTATCATCAGAAGAAGTTTCTCTTATCCAAAGGATCATTGGTATCTCTCCATTTGTATTACCAGAGGCCTCTTCATGGTATGAAATTTCTAACACTGCTTTGGTGAAATTTTGTAAACCTTTTATTCTTAGATCCAAAAGGTATGTTCATCTTGGCTTGATTAGCACATGTACATTTATACCACACTGTATAGTTCTTTGTGGACCAGTGCAGGGTTTGGTTGAACAACACGAGAGTGCTTTACATGGAGCATTCAAAATGCTTCGGCAGTTATTTAAAGACCTTGATCTAAATTATGTAATACAAGCCAGTGACCAAAATGACACATCAAGTCCTCTTATTCACAAAAATAGTAGAGAAAGTAGTCAGTTACCTGAAATTAGTAATCACTCCATACAAAGGCCATATCAAGATATAGTTGTAAAGAATGGAGATGAATTGGAAAAAACTCAGGCATATTTAAATGTATATTCAAATTTGGTAATTTCAAGTAGAGGATTAGAAACACATATTCCGTGTTCAACACCAAAACTGACACCAACAAATACTTTCCAAATAGATGATACACTAAAGTGTTTGTCTCCAGAAAAAAACAGAATAATTGATGACTATGAACTTGAACTATTAGCTGATAATAATTTAACTGGTAATCCTACAACTGAAAACACTAGAATAGAAATTTCTTATGAAAATTTACAAGTTACAAAAATTGATAGAACAGGGAGCAAGTTACCAGTGAGATATAAGTCATTGGATTTGTGTACTTCCCAGAGTTACCATTCCTCATCTGTGCCAGCAGGTAGTGTTTTGCCAGTGGGTGGTAATTTTGAGATTTTGTTACATTACTATCTTCTCAACTATGCCAAAACATGCCAGCCATCAGAAGAGGCCATGGTTAGTACATTAATTGCTAATGCACTGTTAGGCATTCCAAAAATCCTTTTTAAGGCTAAGAAAGTAAATTACAGCTTCCCACAAATATATTTGAGAACTCTCCATGCACTGCAAACCAATCAACTCATGGTAAGCAGTCAGGAGGGTTTGGAATCAGTAATTGGTAAATACCAGTTGCTAACTTCTGTTCTTCAGTGTTTGACAAAAATATTAACCATTGATCTGGTGATCAATATCAAGAGGCAACCTCAGAAAATTTATGATCAAGATTCAGAAGATGAACTTTAATATTGGACTTTGTTGTTAATCAACTTTTAATCCAGCTCAAGGCGTAAAGCAGGCATGTAACTACTCATTCTCATTCAGTTCACTCTATTAGGAAAACAGAATAACTTCATAAGTTTTTTTAAAGAAATATACTAAAGTCATCAGACCATTCAGATGCAAATATTAAATTACTTTGTGGAACTAAACTAAGGCAGAAATGGAGTTCCAGCTAAATGTGTCTCTTTCCCCTTACATTTCTCTGTATCTCAGCTCTGTATTATTCTTTTTCAGTGAGTATGTTTCTTTAGAGTTTTCACTTCTGAATTTTTTCTCTATTCTCTTTCCCCTTCCTATATTTATTTCATAGAATCAATTTCAAATTTAGAAGGGATCTTCAAATGCTACCTTACTTTAATTTTTTTGTAAACAACTAAACATGTAAATGTTATTTACTGCAGTTAAAATAATTTTATGTACTCATAATTTGTAAAGCAGTAAGTAAAAGTCACAGTTGTCCTTTTAAAAGGATACAAATAAAATTAGGTTTAATTTCATGGGCCACTTGATTAATTTCTATTTTATTTGGAGAAACTTGGGTTTTCACCACTCATGCACCTTTGAACATGTTACCAGGAATAGAATCATGCAGTGAAAATGTGGTTTTCTTTATGTAATTAAAAATTACGGCTAGAGATGTAGCTCAGTGGTAAAGCCCTTGTCTGCCATGGGTGAGGCCCTAGACTTAATCCCCATCACCACAAAAAAATTAATACCAAAAAGATATGAAATCCATACTGTGGTTTTCTTCTGCCTCTTAAGAACTTGGGTTTTCTTGTATTTGCTGTATACATGGAGTAAGTAGTAACAAATAATTCTATAGTTGTTCCTAATTCAAATATACAAATCCTTAATTTTATTGTAAAAGCTTTTGAATAAAAACAGTACTATGAAGTAGCTGTGTATACATACAGTATCCTTTTACTAGTTCTTTGTGACACCCAAAAGACAGTGCTTTGTTTATTCTGAGTATTCAGAAGTACTTGTGAAATAGAACAGTGTTAATTTGTTCCCCTAAGTACATGTTTCTGATGTATTTATTCAGAAAATTCTTACTAAGTGCTTACTATATGCCAAATGCTATGCTAACTACTGRATGAACTGTGCCATCATGTAGTTTTCATCAAAGGTTAATGGATAATGTGACACTATTTTGGGGGGGATTAATTGTAGGAAAAATGAAGAGAAGACTTTATAGTTGAGTAAGGGGTGACTAATAATACATTTAAAAACCATAGCATCCCACCATGTGGTATTTGTAATCTTTCTGATCTTTCATATTAAATATAGTTGTGTTTTTCAAAGGTTTATGCTATGTGATTTGTTTCATTTCTGTGATTATGGAGAGAATAATCTATTTCTTATATTGTGTTTGTAGATGAATGAATCTGTTAAAACTGCTGCATGATTTTTTCATGCATATTTTTAAATTGCCTGTTAGGTCATTTTGATTTGTTTTATTGTTTTAAATACTCTTAAGTCATTGAAGGCATTCAAAGACCGTTCCAGACATGCCCAGTGCTTTACATATGGTAGATATTTAATAGTTATAAATGTCAATAGCTTAGGAGCCCTTTGGTAAGCTGTAACTGGCTCTTCATATGATTGGTATCTGGTCTAATATTTTGCACATAGTAACTATCCAGTAAATGTCTGTTAAGGAGGACCTATTTATTAGATGAATTCATCAATTTATTGGATGAATAATATTATGTTTATAAACTTCCATGGGCAAAAGGGAGAGAAACAGAAAATGTTGGTGAGATCTACTATGCCGCAGTCTGGCTGGGCAAAATAACGGGGTGGGGGGGGGGCGAGTGACAAGGAACTTGTGAAGGTGATACAGCAGGAGTGGGAGCCGCTTTATTGTTGGACAGTAGAGGTATATATACACTTAACTGATTATACACAGCCTAACTTAATTAACATAAACTAGATACAGCAGTCAACCAATAAGGAATCATCATCTTAATGATTACACACAGATTAACTTAATTGACATAATCTAGACACAGCAATCAGTCATTAAGGAATCTCTATCATCTTAATGGCTTGCTGGCGTTACTTCTCAAACCACTCCCTCTGGCAAAATGCCAGGTGCCATCTTGACTTGTTTACGGACCCTAACACTACTAACAAAGGAATCCTTTTTCTTTTCATTTAAAAAAATCCTTCTGTAATGGTGATAAAGCTCTCATCAGTTATTCTTATTTACAGAATATTACCAGGAAGTTTACATCACTGCATTAGGTAAGAATACTTTTAAAAATACGAGTACATTTAACTTTCGCCCTCTACCAATTATGGTTTGAGGTGACCTATAATAAGAACAGATAGAACGGGTGAAATCTGAATAAAATTGAAGAATTAGGGTTAAGAAAAATGTGAAGACAAATTAAAATCAAGATCATTTTCTGTTTTCTACTGCTGCATAATGAATAACCCCCAAACTTGGTAGGTTTGAGTCATCCTATTACCTCTCATAGTTCTGAGTCCACCAAGCTTAACCTGACTACTTGCATTGTATTCTCTTGGCTGAGCAGTCAGAAAGGTTAGCTGGGGTTCAGGGAGAATGTGGGCCTCAGCACTCAATGGGAAGAGTGTCCATGTCACATAAGAGCATGTGAGCTGAGATATATTGAGGTAGCTATGTTTGGAAAATACAATCTTGTATACCATGGGAGGGAAAAGAATAAATATGCATTAACTTCTCAGCTGAGATTTTTAGTTTTTTGAAGTTACTCCTCAAACACATTTTCCCTAATAACCTTTATGAACTTTATTTTTTCTCACTGATCCAGTATGAGCCACTCTTATCTTCAAAACAATAGGCATTGAACTTGAATATCCTTAAGCTGCTTTAGCCAGAAGACCTATTTAATCATGTTATACAGAAAATGCCATGGTATCTATGTGTCAGATTAAAAAGGAAGGGAAAGTGGAATAATATATCTTTTTTTTTTCCAATAAAACTTCATTTATTTATGGACACTGATAGACTTTAAAGTACATGAGTCACAAATATAATTCTCCATTTTATTTTTTCAACCACTGAAAAATGTTAAAAAAAAAAAAAACTATTCTTAGCTTGAAAGCCCCATGAAAACAGGCAGAGGGCCAGATTTGGCCCTCTGGTGGTAGTTTGCTGACTCCTCTATTAATGAGCATTTAAATTGTTTCTAGTCTTTTGCTGCAATGTATAATATATATGTCATTTCATGTGTGTTCAATTGTATCTACTTGTGGGGAAAGCTCCAAGAAGTGGGAATGTTGGGCCAGAAGACATATGCAATTGTTATTCTGATATATATCACTAAATTGCCTTCCTATGGGCTGTGCTAGTTGATTCACCCACCAGGAATAATGCATCTTGACCCTGAACTTTTATCAGAAATTGTATGTCCTCTCCCAAAAGGAGTATGTTTTATCTGTGAATGGGGACATATCTGCAGCTCAGCTTTGATGGCAGTTAAGGACAGGTCCCTATTGGAAGACAAAGAAACAAGTTGGAAGGAGTTTGGATCACTACATAACCTTGTGAAATCATCTCATCCATGTAGGCTACTGCTTTAAAGATTGTTCTGTGAAAGTGGAATTTATGTGTCATTTAGTCTCTATATTTTGGAGATTATGCTATGGCAGTTCTATCTTTATTCCAAAAGGAAAAAACTCTTATATGGCCCCATGACTTAATGTTGTGTTTTAAACTATTATTGCAGAAACTTTTTATAAATAAAACTTCTTAAATAAAAGTAGTAAAATAATTAATTCTGTATACCATATTTACTTTGTATTGTTGTTGTTCACAAAGTCAATTGTTGAATATTTTGTTAGAATGGGAGGTTTTTACTTATTGGTGAAAATAGCACATGTTTTTTATTGATTTTTTTTCAAAAATAAATGATAGCAGAATGCATTACAATTCTTATTACACATATACAGCACAATTTTTCATATCTCTGGTTGTATATAAAGTATGTTGACACCGATTCGTGTCTTCATACATGTACTTTGGATAATGATGTCCATCACATTCTACCATCCTTGCTACCATCTGCCCCCTCCATTTCCCTCCCACCCCTCTGACCTATCTAGAGTTCATCTATTCCTCCCATGCCCCTGCTCCCTATCCCACTATGAATCAGCCTCCTTATATCAGAGAAAACATTTGGCATTTGTTTTTTGGGAAATGGCTAACTTTGCTTAGCATTATCTTCTCCAATGCCATTCATTTACCTGCAAATGCCATGATTTATTCTCTTTTAGTGCTGAGTAGAATTCCAATGTGTATATATGCCACATTTTTTATCCATCTACTGAAGGGCATCTGGGTTGTCTCCACAGTTTAGCTATTGTGAATTGTTTTACCTTTCCCACCATATTTGCTTTACTTTTTCCAAAGGGTTTTTAAAAGACTTGTTTTATTTTAAATTATTACCTGTACTGTTTGTCATGGTGAAATAATATGTTATTTCAAATCTCAGTGAATGTTTGCTACACGTGTACTTTTTGGATTGGTTAGGAAATCAGAGGAAAATGGTGCTGTTTTCCCCTTCTAAGATGACAATAAATGGAAAGAAGAGAGCTATAGAAAGCAGTATGGAGATTCTTAAGAAAACTTGAAATAGAACCACCATTTGACCAGTTATCTCACTCTTCAGTATATACTCAAAGGACTTAAAATCAGCATATGATAGTGATGCAGCCACATTTCAATAGCAAAGAGTCAAAGACAAGATCCTGTGGGGAGACTCAGAAAGAAGATGGAAGGAGCATGGATCCCTAAATGACCATGTGAAGCCATCTCACCTACAACAATGGAAGCACTTTGGGGCTCACAGAAATATTGGGAAAGGTACTGAACTCCACAGAATGTTGGATAAGGACTTGAGCCATTTTTATTTTAATATTACATGTATAACCAGGTGTGGTGGTCCATGCCTATAATCCCAGTTGCTCAAGAGGCTGAGGCAGAAGGATCAAGAGTTCAAAGCCATATTCTGCAACTTAGTGAGACCTTGTCTCAAAATAAAAAAATGGACTGGAGATATGGTTCAGTGGTTAAGTACCCCTGGGTTCAATCTCCAATACCCACCCCCATATATGTATTTGTAGTTATTTATGTTTGTGTGATACTTACATATATGATATATATGTGATACTTACTATATATATATATATATATATATATATATAGAGAGAGAGAGAGAGAGAGAGAGAGAGAGAGAGAGAGTTATATAGTTTTATAAGACTAGAAAACTTGGGGATAACTAAGATAATAGTTCCTGCTTAGCATTTATGTGAATAAAGAAATAGATGACAGAATGAGCCTAGTACTGTACAACTTGGTTCAATACCAACATGGTGAAAATCCCAGATGACCAACCCAGACCATGCAGAATAAATGGGGCACAATTATATGATTTCTCTCAGTCTATAGACCCTTAGTATAGAATTTGCTCATATTGGATCATCATTTAGGTCTTGCAAATACTAA